CTGCTCTCACATGCACTTATATCTTCTCTTTCTGATAAATAAAAAAATCTTAAAAAAAAAAAAAAAAATCCAGGGGATCCCTGGGTGGCTCAGCGGTTTGGCGCCTGCCTTTGGTCCAGGGCGCAATCCTGGAGTCCCGGGATGAGTCCCGCACCGGGCTCCCTGCATGGAGCCTGCTTCTTCCTCTGCCTGTGTCTCTGCCTCTCTCTCTCTATGACTATCATGAATAAATAAATAAAATCTTAAAAAAAAAAATCCAAAAACCCTTTGAAAGGATCCTCACATACAAATAACTTTTTTCCTGTAAGGTGATCCTAACTTTATATGGATATACTGTACATCTTATACCCTGAATTATTATAAAAACCGCACTAACTGGAAAACAAAGACCAACCCTGTAAAAGAGAAAGTAACAAAACCAACCATACAAAAGGGAAAAGTAGATTTAAAGCAGAAGTGACCATCACACCTGAAACAAACTATACTCTTCCTTTGAGTAACAAATCCCTTCACTTCTAATTATTTTTTCTATAAGTTAAAAAAGTAGTCACAGTCTAAAAGATAAGGCGGTAATTCTAAGTAGCTTAAAAAGGGGGTTAAAATGGGTTTTTAGCAAAGGTATTTGATAATACAAATACTTTCTTAAAAGAACAAAATAAACAATGTACTGAACAGATATTATATGCATTAAAGCTTTGCAGATATTTTTCCCCTTTCTTCAGAGACATTCTTTTTAAAAAATTTTTAAAACAGATTTTATTTATTTATTAATGAAATACACACAGAGAGAGGCAGAAACACAGGCAGAGGGAGAAGGAGAAGCAGGCTTCCCACAAGGAGCCCAATGTGGGACTCAACTGCTGAGCCACCCAGGTGTCCCCCTTCAGAGACATTTTTAAAGGGATTCTAAGAAATGAGTTAGTTTTAGCACTGGACCAGTATCCATACATGCTAAATTCCCTTTCAGGATTTCCCTTTCCTTCTCTATAAATTGAACTTCACTCCACCAGCTGAATTTCGTTGGTAGTCTAATCCTGGACACTCTAGTCTCAACAAAGAGACACAATTTTAAAACTGCCCTCTATGAGCTGATCCTTTGCTACCTCTGTGATCTTAGCTCCTACAACTCCCCCCAGCCCCACCCCTCTGACTCTGCTACAGGGATACTGGCCTCCTTGCTTTCTGTGAACACCACAGGAATGCTCCAGCCTTCAGTCCTTGGCATTTGTGGTTCCCTTTTCTTAGACTATTGCTTTTCCCCATACAGCCACCTGGTTTGCTCCCTTCCTGCAAATCTCCCACCAGACACCATTCTCAGTGAGGCCTTTCCTGATCAACTGACATAAAACAGTAAATCCACCTCGCCTTCTCTACCCCCTTTCCCCAGTTTTATTTTTCTCCATAGCACTTACTACCATTTGATACACTATATTTGATTGTGTTCTGTCTGTAAAAGGGAGGCTTGATCTTTATACTGTCCACTACTGTACCGCCAGTAGTTAGGATAGTGCCTGGCACCATTAAATATTTGTTAAATAAATAATTATATCTTGTCAAGCATATGGAAACTCATGACAGCCAATGACTGATAAGAGCTGACAATAATCCAGAAATACTCAGGTGTATCTACTTAATTATGACTATCAGAATTCATTTTAAAACAGCCTTCCATAACATTTAAATGTCTAATATTTCAGATCTTAAAAAATTAGTAGATGCTTAATTAAAAGATTAAGATCACTGTTTATGGTAAACCCCAGCTGATCCAAATTGTGGCAATTTATCAAAGTTCCAGATTTGGTATAGTATCCAAGAGGAACTATATACAAACTGTCCTACTACTAAATTATTCACCAGAGTTAACTTTAATGAACTCATTTTACTTCTTTTTGTCTTATTTTTAGGTTCCTGCATCAAGATCCAAATGGATTATGATTTACTGTCCAGCTAGTATTAAAAGAAACTGTCAAGAGGGGATCCCTGGGTGGCTCAGCGGTTTGGCGCCTGCCTTTGGCCCAGGGCGCGATCCTGGAGTCCCGGGATCGGGTCCCGCGTCAGGCTCCTGGCATGGAGCCTGCTTCTCCCTCCTCCTGTGTCTCTGCCTCTCTCTTTCTATGTCTATCATAAATAAATAAATCTTTAAAAAAATATTAAAAAAAAAGAAACTGTCAAGAAAGTTATGCCACCATCACAATAGCAAAAGCAAAAGCTGTTTTCTACATATTCACATCCAATTCTCCAGGTTGCCCTCTGGAAACATTTTCTCTCCCTTTAAGGGTACCCTAAAAGGGAGAAGAGTGGAGAAAAGAAAATATGAGAAAAGCAAAGAAAACAAGAAGAACTTTAAAAGACTCAAGTTCCCTAAACCCCAAGCAAATTGCATGAGGCATATTAGTTTTTGGTTAATAAAATTCAAAGCCTATGAAAACCGTTTTCTGTGCCCTGCATGTACATCATACATAAAACCTCACACGTTTAAAAAAAAATAAATCTAGGCATCCAGCATAGTAATACTTGGGTAGTGAAGAGACCCCTGGATTTCCTTTTATCCGAGTCCTGGCACTGCTATGTCTCCATGTGTATTACACTAAAACTCCGGATCCTCAGGCATCAGATAAGGATGAACTAGAATATCCTCTCAAGCCATTCCCTAGCAGAAATCTGATGCTTCAAAGTTAAAAGACATGTGATTCTGCTCCTACTCCTAAATGCCCCAAAATTCAAGGACAGGCAAATGTTAGTGAAGAAAATCAATTAACTGAAATTTTTCCTTCCAGATTTTTTTCTTATATTGTTGACATGTGCCAGCGTTTGTCACCTCTCAAGCATTAACAGATGCTAAGTAAGTAAATATAACCATGAGACACTTGTTACATGTATTAACTCATTTATGACCCTCACAAAATTGAACAGAGGTCAGTATCCTTACACTTCTACATACAGACTAAAGTTTCCAGGGGTGCTAGAACCTGGGCAAGATTATGAAGTAATGGTGGAGTCTAGCTTTGAACTTAAATCCTCTGACTCCAAAGTCTGGCCTCTGGGATCCCTGGGTGGCGCAGCGGTTTGGCGCCTGCCTTTGGCCCAGGGCCCGATCCTGGAGACCCGGGATCGAATCCCACGTCGGGCTCCCGGTGCATGGAGCCTGCTTCTCCCTCTGCCTGTGTCTCTGCCTCTCTCTGTCTGTGTGACTATCATAAAATAAAATAAAAAAATTAAAAAAACAACAACAAAGTCTGGCCTCTTAACCATTATACCACATCCCTTTTAAAGAATCTAGAATATTCTATAACCTGGAACATAGTAACAGAACTACTCAATTTCTTCCTTTTTTGGTGGATGTATGCTCTTGACTGATTCCTGCAATGCGAGCATATTTTCCTGTTTTTAACCTGCCAAATTATCCTTTTTTTTTTTTTCTTTTTTATGGTGGCAACACCGCGATCATCACCCTGGAGTGCAACCATCCAAATCCCTAAGGGCTCTCCAGTTAAGTTTTTCCAGCACCCTTCCCTTTCAACGAGGGAAATAACACTTGCAGCTAATTCACAATCTACTGTAACGACGTGCATCTGTTTGTTAGTGACCTGAGTGTGGGTAACACGTTTCGGCTTTCGGCTTTCTTTCCTTGGAGCATGAAAGAAGGCAAATCCACGGAAGACGGATACAGCCGAGCTCAGACTGCGATTCCTCCGATCTCCCCACTCACCGCTTTGTTCCTTCCTCTCTGGGAGCCCTTTCCAGGGGCAGTCTGAGGGTCAAAACGAGACCCTGGGACTAGCGGGTACCTGTCACTGTGCCTAAGAGGCGGCCGCACAGACCCAGGTGTATTGCCCTGCTCGGCGGTACCGAGGACCAAATCCTGAAGACTCCTTAGAGACCAGCGGTCCAGCAGGCCGACGACTAAAGGAGCTGGGGCGGAGGGGAGCGGGGCCTTGTAACAAGTCGCCGGGCCTCATCCTCGCTCCACTCTCCCGGGCTCCCCGAACGCCGCCGGGCTGGGTGCGCGCGTGTGCGGCGGGGGCAGGGCTTCCCATCCTTTCCTCGAGTCCCCGCGATCCCGGCCCCCACCTGGGCGCGGCCTCGGCGGTCGGGCCTCGGGCACTCACCGTCGTTCTCGTCGCTGTGCCGCCGCCGCGACATGCCGCACGCCGGGCGCCGCCGAGCTGAGAGAGGCCGGGCGGGAAGCGCGGCAGGAACTGTCGGGCCGCCGGCCGGTGAAGCACACAGACGAGGCGCGCGCAGGGGCCGGCGCGCAGGCGCACAGGCGCACTCGCTGGCGACGGGTCCCGGAAGCGCAGGCAGGAGAGGCGGCCGGGGGGTGCGGGGGACGGCTCGGCGGGCTCGGGGGCCGGAGAGCCGGCGTCCGGAAGCTCAGCAGGCCGAGGGCGTCCGGTTCGCACGCAACCGCCCCCTCGGGCTTCCTCCGCCTCTCTGCAGCTTCCCTCTCCCGCCTTTCGCTCTAAGTCCTTCCGGGGACACGCGGAAAGCACCGCCCCTTCAGCCAGCCGGAGGCGGCCGGTCAGGAGCCAAACCCGGCGGCTGCCGGGCCACCAACGCACGCCGGAGTCCCCGCCTCAACTTCGGACCCGCCCTGGGGCTCAGGATTTCCCGGCGGCCCTTTCGCGTACGCCCTCGAAGACTTCCGGGGCGAGGTGACGTCTCCCGTGAGCTTCCTTTCTCCGTGAGCTCCGGGCGGGGGCTGGTGGAGGTTCTTGGGACGCGGAGCCGTGACGACTGCTAGGCGGAGACGGTTCGATGAAGAAAGATCCAAGGAAGGACCGGGACTGGCGGGTGCGTGCTCATCTTACTCCCACTTCCGGGCCTTTTGCCTCGTCGGGAGAGCTGGGCGGAGCGATTGGCCTGGCCCGGCGCGCGGGGTGGGGCCGGGCGGGGGGCGGCGCTGCGCTTGCGGCCCCCGGGGCTGGGAGACCGGGTTCCTCGCGCGGCTATCCTGCCCCTCCTCCTCCTCAGTTGTTAGTGGGGGAGGAACAGGGGATTGCTCTAGTATGTATTCAGTACTCGGCCCCTCTTTACGTGTGTGCGAACGTGACCTGCCCTGAACGTCTCTGATGAGCACCGCGCCTGCTTCTCTGCCTTGTCCGTGGTCGCTGAAATTTCACGCGTCTAACTGGAACCCTTGTTTCATTCTCTTGTCCTAACCGATTGCTCTGTCAGCCATACCCATTTCACCGTCCATCTGATTGCTTCATCCAGAAGTGTAGGTAGGTAGGAGTCATTCTTGGGTCCTCCTTTTCCTTCACTTCCTACCGAACAAGTCTACCTGTAAATCTTGCCAGCTCTACTTGAAAGACTAATCCAGAATCAGACCACGTTAGGCCTCGGTGTACAACTCTCCAGTTACTTTGCATTGCAAATTCTATACCCTGACCTAAAGAATTGTGCTCGCTCTTTTTCTTTCTTTCTTTTTTAAATTTTATTCCTTTATTCATGAGACACACACACAGAGAGAGAGAGAGAGAGAGAGGCAGAGACACAGGCAGAGGGAGAAGCGATCCCTGCATGCAGGTTTCATGTAGGGAACCCGACACGGGACCCGATCCCGGGACTCCAGGAAGGCAGGCGCTAAACCGCTGAGCCACCTGGGGCTACCTCTGTGCTCTTTCATCACTGTACTGCATCCGTTCTGACTTTCTTCCTGTTTCTCTAGTAAGGCAAGCTTCTCTCCACGTTTAGGAATTTATACTATTTCCTTTGCCTCTGCTGCCAGATCTGCATGGATGGCTGGCTCCTCGTCATTTTGGTCTCAACTCAAACATCAGGTCTTTAATGAAACCTTCCCTGGCTACCCAGTCACTGCGTTTATTTCATTCAACAAATATTGTATTTATTGACATTTAGCACCTCCTATATATGCATGCAGTGCTAAGGATGCAGAGGTGAACAAAGGAAAACCCTTGCTTTCTCAGTGTTGGTGACCCATTTAGGAATAAACAGACATAGTGCAATCAGAGGAGTTACCAAAGGGACAGTAGTAGATGAGAGAGGTGGTGAACTTTAGACGTCATCAGAGTATGTTGAGAAGCCTTTGGGACTTTGGTAACCTCTATGGGGAGGAGGACAATTAGACTGTTGCAATAATTCAGTTGAGAAATGGTGGTGGCTTGAGTGGGATTGGAAGTTTGTCCATTTTGAGAAGATTTGGCCACACTAATGATTTTTTTTAAAGATTTTATTCATGAGAGACAGAGAGAGAGAGAGACAGAGAGAGAGAGAGAGAGAGAGGGGCAGAGAGAGAAGCAGACTCCATGCAGGGAGCCTGATGCAGGACTAATCCTGGGTCTCCAGGATCACACACTGGGCCAAAGGCGGTACTAAACTGCTGAACCACCCGGGCTGCCCCACAATAATGGTTTTTATATTTTATATTTCTTCTGTTTATTAAAATGGGGTTTTCTTGGTTGTTATTTCGTCTATGGGATGGAATTTGCATTTTAGCTCTAAAGTTAAAGGACAAAAAACAAAGTGTTTATAACTAAAGTTACTAGCACACGGCTTGGTTGGCTTGGCTTGTACCTGGTGCTTTTCTGGTATCATTTACCTTAAATGTTTGCAGGGCTTACCCCCTAATTTAAATTCCTGCTCAAATGCTACTGCCTCAGAAAGACTTTACCTACTCTGTTTTTAAGTGCCCTGCATCACTCTCTTTACCCTGGTTTTTATCTTCATGGCCCTTTTTCCTATCTGACTTTTTAAATTTAATCAAGATATTCATTTGTAAAAAAAAAAAAAATCATTTGTTGATTTTCTGTCTCTCCCCACTGCAATATAAACTTCCAAGAAAGCAGAGACTTTTTCTGTTTCTTTCACTGCTCTATTCCCATTGTCTAGCACAGTGCTTCACATAGAGTAGGTGCTAAACAATTATTTATTGAATGAATGAGTGAATGGATGGATGGCTTGGGCTGCTGGGCCCATGCTTATTTGCCTGATACTGATTCGCTTCAAGTTTACTTCAAGTAGTAATCAAAGACTGACATTGTTGTCTTTCCTCTGCTTTCTAGGAGACAATTAACTGAAAGGAACTTGCCCCACTACTGCAACTAAACCAGATGCCTTCTTTCACTTCACCAGACCAAGGAGATGACCTGGACGCCTGTGTTTTAAGATTTTCAGACCTTGATTTAAAAGACACAAGGCTTATCAATCCCAGTAGTAGTCTCAAAGCAGAGTTAGATGTCTGTACGAAGAAGAAATACTCGTTTGCCAAAAAAAAGGTAAAATTGCTTATTGCTGTTGATGTTTCAGGATCGTTATGTATAGTTAATTCAGATACATCTATTAGTAGCTCACCACTCGTCTAGGTTTTCCTCCAGGGAGTACAGGGCTAATGAGACAGGAGGCTGCTGCCATGCTCAAAGTACTAGTCAGAATCATTTTCCAGTGATCTTAAGTCAGTGCCAGGCAAAGAAGAATCATGAGCAAGGTATGGCTATGGAACACTTATGGTTGAGTATTTGAGGACAGATCCTAGACAGATGGGCTGGATTCCTTTTTCCCACCTATGGATAGAAATACAGGAGCCCAGGAGACTTTAACATAGGGAGAACAGATAGGCAGTAGGGCAGTTGCCATCTAAGACTCCTGATCTGATCTAGCTGGCTGGGTTCTGTTGGTTAGGAGAAAGGACACATGGTCCAAAATGGTTGTGCAAGCTTGCTGAGGACAGTTGGGATTAGATTATAACGGGAGGTGATGTTGGTGTGCTGCTCTTCTATGCCATTTATCCTTTCTTGCAGAGAACATTGACTCAAACCTCTTCCTATTGAAGCTCAGAGCAAGGAAAATGACCTGAGGACATGCAATTGAGACTTAGTTTTCTTACTTTCTGTCTGCTGTCCTTCTGCAGGTAGCTGTTGTTGGCTTCATGTCAAAGAATAATAGATGTTTCTGCTTATAACTTCTTACCCACCACGCCTCTGCTCTCATCTCACGCAGATGTCCATGAAAATGAAACACAAAGGGTACAGAAAGGTTTTTTTCAAATACTATCTATCTTGCAATAATTTCAGACTTAGAGAAAAGCTGCCAGAATTGTATAGTGGACCCTCATATCCCCTTTGTACACAGGCTCCATTCCTGTTTTATCAAGTGTCACAAATGGCTTTTATAGATCTATTCTAGGATCACATGTTACATTGAGTTGTGTTTCATACCTTCTTCAGTCTGGAGCACTTTCTTATTTTTTTCCTCCTGTGAAATCATGACCATGACATACTTGAAGATTACATGAGTTATTTTGTAGAATATCCCTTTGTTTGATTTTAACTTATATTTCCTTATGATAGATTCAGATTGGTGCTTTTATTAACAAGACTATCCCACAGGACATGCTGTGTTCATCTGGCTACAATCTATCAGGTGGTTCACAGTGGCGATTTGTCCCATTACTGGTGATATGAACTTTGTTTACTTGATTAAGGGAGTGTCTGTCAGATTTTTCTCCTATAAATTTTTCTTTTTTCCCTTTTAAACTACTCAGCATTTGGGGGGAAATGCTTTGGGCCTATGTAATTATCTTTTTCCTCATCCAGCTTTCATCTTCTAGCTTTAGATTCATTGATGTTTCTCTGCTTAGTTGATTGTTACTGTGTTGGCTGCTAAAGGGTGATTTTCTAATTGCTTCGTTCCTTCTAGATTTAGTGTTTGGCATTCTGCTGTAAAGAAGAGCTTTCTCTTCTCCCAATTTATTTGTATCCGTGTGCACTCAGGTTACATTTTATTTGTTGAGTTACAGTCCATTATGTTATTGTTTATTATGATGTTCAAATCATCTCACATTTTGCTTGGAATCCTTTCAAGCTAGTCTCTACGTCCTTTTGACTTGTTCCCATCATTCTTTGAGCATTTCCTTACTTTCTGATTCAACAAGGTGTTCCAAGGTCATCTTGCATTTTTCCTGACCCATCCCTGGAGTCAGACATTTCTTCAGGGAGCTCTGGTTCCTTCTAGTGAAGGACTGTCAAAAACCAAAACCCAGAGGCTCTGCGAGCTCATTGCTACCAAATACTGCCTCTCCCAGGACCTCTGGTGTATGGAGCTAGGAAAATATATAGATGAATACACAAATGTCTAGATGTATTGTATATATACTTCTGTATTTTCTACTATCTCAGTATTAATCACACCATGAGCACATGCCAATACTTTCAGTTCCATTCCAGCATCACAAGAGTTTTTTTCTAACTCTCCCTTTCCAATATTTATAACTTCCCTATTTGATGAGGTTGGTGAGAAATCTAGTTCCAATCGGTCCCAGTATATTTTCTTTTTTGCTTGTTCTCTTGTATGGAATAATCAATGTACCCACCCTACCAAGTTGCCTCCTTTACCAGGACCTGCCTTCTCCTTGTAGGCCTCACTCACCTCTGAGCTGCATTCTGGCCACTCTTTCCTTGAACAGACTCCACAGAGGCCCTAACTGCTGCTAGGTCCTCAGTGCCTTGTTCACAAAATCTTAAAAGACCAGATAAGATTTGAAAATCAAAGTTTAAACGAAGAAGCACTTATGTTGACATACATGCACACACACACTCTCTCTCTTTGCCTATTTGGAAAGAATAACTGCAATAGAGTATAAAAAATGCCCTCCAGTGTAATTTCCTCTATTTCTGTCTGAGACACTCCAAATACAGTTGTGTACAGCTAGAGGATGGTCCACTGTGGTGGTTCATATCTGTTATCAATGTTTAGAGTGCCCATTTTTGGATGCTTTACAGTAGTTTCCATATACGTTAGAAAAGTTAAAAAAATACATACATACACAGGTATATATAAATACCTCTCTTCCCATTAGACCAGAAGGGAACAGTTGTTGAGACACTGATAAACATAATCCCATTCAGCCTCCTTTTGTACATCAAAATACCACAGAGTTGAAAAACATGACAAACTGGGAAACAAATTTGTGATAACTATGATTAAGAAAAGGTCACTGAAACCACTTACAAATCAGGAAGAAATCAAATGCCACAATAGAAAAATAGGAAATAGATATGAATAGGTAAGTTATACAAGAACAAGAACAAGGAATTGATATGAAAAAATACCCTCCTAATCAAATACATGCAGATGAAAGTGTATCTCTTTTGCCTTGTAATTCAGGTCAACACTAGAAATACTGATAATGAAAAAATGCTGATAAAACTTGATGCTGTGGATAGAATGTCACCTTGTTGGTGAGCATATATAAACTGGTATGATTTTTCTGGAAGTCACTATCACAATTTTAAGTTTCCTGTTTCTTCATCCCAAAAGTTTTATTCTAGACATTTATTTAAGGTAGATGGTTAAAGAGATATAGAAAGATGTATGCATGGAATGCTCATTGAACATTGCTTATAACTGCAAATATTGGAAACAAAAAAATGGCCGTTAGGAATTGGTTGACAGAATTATGGTACATCCACAGTTTTCTGTTTAATTTTTTTAAACAGTAAGAGTAAAAACAAATTATTTTCCAAAAAACAAGTCAACACATCTTGATATATTTCTTTCTGTTCTTTTTCAGTGCACTTTTTAATATAGTTGAGATTATGTTGTAGAAGTAAATTTTATCCATTGTTTTTCATTTAACGTTATATCATAAGTATTTTCCCTCATAATTTAAAACTAACTGCTCAATATTCCATAGTAAGTATATTCCAAAATCTCGTTGACCATTTTGTTTTTAGAAGTGACATAGTGTTGTTTGTAATGTTTTACTAATTTCTGAAATTCAAGCCCTTTCCTTAAGAACAGTCTCTAACAAGTTTTAGATTGAGGTATAAGTTTACAAAGAAAACTGTTACTCTCAGGAAGTTCTTCTATAAAAAAATAGGACATAAAACTAGAAAACCCTGTGGAAAGATAAGGGATTCACTGAGACTTCTACCAGCTTTAAACTTAAGATTGACAGTGGCATATTTGAAATGTAATTGCAGGCATTTGCCCTTTTCGTCAAAACCAAAGAAATTCCAGCACCTTCTTTTGAATGTAAAGAAAAGTGGTGGAAATGCTGTCAACAGCTCTTCAGAGACCAGATCAGCATCCACAGACATGCGGCAACACAACATGCTGATGAGATTTGCCACCAGACTGCTTCTGTGTTAAAGCAGCTGGCTGTGACATTGAACACCTCAAAGAACCTTAAGTCTGAGGTCAATAGGAACCCTCTAAAAGAGTACTTTATCTATAATCATGAAGTGTCTGCTTGGCTCCCTGATTTAAGCTGCTTTAGCCCTGATGAGTTGATAAGGTAAGAATTTCATTCTGTACTTCAGTTTAACTTTAAAAGTTGTTCCAGCCACAATGAGATACCACTCCTATCCATGAAAATGGCAAGATCCTTAAGGCACAGAATTTCTCTGTGGCCTGCTAAGCTAAGCCAAAACCACATACTCTGTATTACAGAAGCAATAGCATACACCCATGTAGCTGGCAGCGTTCACTAGGTTTTGTGGAAGGCTACATCTAATCTTCTCTAGGGAGAGGTAATGAACAGAACATTGTATTGTTTTCAAAGAGAAATTGGAAGGCTCAGAAATGTTAATGATCTCTCTACCCTGAATAATATTAGAGTTTTAATTAATTAATTTATTTATACAAAAGCTACCTTTTATTTTGTTATTTATTTTTATTTATTTATTTTTAAAGACTTTATTTATTTATTCATAGAGACACACACACACACACAGAGAGAGAGGCAGAGACATAGGCAGAGAGAGAAGCAGGCTCCAAGCAGGGATCCTGACGTGGGACTCGATCCAGGGTCTCCAGGATCACGTCCTGGGCTGCAGGCGGCGCTAAACCACTGCACCACCGGGGCTGCCCAAATATTAGAGTTTTAAAAACAGTTTTTATTACCAAATATTTTCTGAGTTGAATATGTTTTAGAAGGGATATTAACTTTTAGAACTGGGGCATAGGATTAGAAGTTTAGATCGTGCCTTTGAAAAACTCACCAAGTTATATTACAGAATTCTAGAGGACAAATTTCTGATTTTAAGCAATTTCTGAACTATTTGGTGAGGAGAAAATGTCCAAATTTAATATACTCTTGTCATTAGTATTCAGTTTCCCCTGCCTTTGAAAAAGTCACCAAATTATATGAATTGTTATCTATTCCCCATGTTTATCAAGAGAAGGAGAAAGAGAATTGAACTTGGAGTGAGAGTTGAGGTAGTCACTAAAATTCTTGGTACCGTTATTTTCTCACCTCTAAAATAGGAATAAGGATGCCTGCCCTGCTTCTGCACAGTGTTTCTCTATAAATTATATAAAATTATGATGGTTAAGAGAACCGCTGAACTATAAAGTACTGTACAAACATGGCCTTTTTGCTTCTCTATGGTTCCGTGCCTCAAGGAATTTGCTTTCTAGTGAGAGAAATAAAGGATACATGAAACAATTAGCAGATGATATGAGACAGGCTATATAATTATCAGTTGAATTGTGTAGTACAGATAATAATTTGTTCCAGTAGTTTAGAGAAAGGAAAATAGGTTCTAAAATAGACAAGATTTCAGAGGAGAGTAGGCCCTGCAATATGATGAAGGTATTGGTGAGAGTTTCAGATTCCAGAGCTGGCTGGGACCTTCATTATCCTTTATTCCATATCATTCTCTAAAATATGTTCTATGCAATACCAGTTCTGAAGGATGTTAACAGGCATTAAAGAGAGATGCCAAAGACAAATAAGGTTGGGAAGCACAAGCCTAAAATGTTCTTTACTGCAGGACTTTTCAGAGCCTTGAATAGATAAGGGGCTTTCATTGAGATTCTCAAAGAGGGAGATACTATCTGCAAGGTTTCTCCTACATGTAATTTCATAGAATAGCTCTAGAGCATACTTTGGAAAGTGCAGTCAGTCCATTTCACTTCTCTGGTTTTTCAGATGAGGAAGTCAATGTCAGAGATGATAAGAGACTAGGTCCCAGGTCCCACGACTAGTTAGTATAAGACCGCACAGTGCAGCAGAGAGTATGGAGTCTAGTGTCAGAAGACTGTTGTCGATGTCTTGACTGTCACCCTGTAGCTGTCTCATCTAGGAGGAATTGTCTGCCCTTGGTTTACTCAGCTATAAAGTGGGGATAATAATAATCCTTCCTATGGTTAAGAGGATTACATGAAAAAATGGAAGTGAAACCTTCTGTATGATGAGAGATTCAAAAACAGATACTGCCTTGCCTGAGAGGATAAGCCAGAAAGGACTCAAATTTCCAGCTGTTCTGTAAAATGGGTTCTTATTTCCTATCTCATGGATATGATGATGAAATGAGGAAATCAGAGTACACTCACTTTTTTGTAAAGTAGATTGGGTGCAGATAATGTCTTCTTCAGAGCAAATGCTGATGGGAGTTGCTCCTTATTTCAGAGCAATAGTAGGAGCAAAGTTAGCCTCTGTCTTGGCCTCCCCTCTGACACTGCCTGGGTCTACTTGGTGACTTGTGGCTGCTTTATGCCAGTGACTCCAATGTTTTTTTCCCTGTGGCTTTCTTCTTCTAGTGGCCAGGGCAGTGATGCAGGAGAGGTGCTACTTTATTACTGCTACCGTGACCTGGAGGATCCGCACTGGGTCTGTGCCTGGCAGACGGCTCTGTGTCAGCACCTGTACCTCACAGGCAAGGTAATGCCTCCCACACCCCACCCTTCAGGGGACTCCTCTTGTCTCCAGTTTGGATTACAGAGGTTGTGCTCAAGACAAAAAGGATTCAGTGTCAGGCTCTTAGAAATCCGTGAAATCCTGCTAGGCTTTTAAGTCGATTACTGAACAGTAATTTAACATGGCGTTTTACGACAGTATTTAATGGACTGAGAATCAGCAGACTTTTTCTTACAGAGCCAAATAGTATTTTTGGCTTTGCACAAAAACTACTCACTCCTGCTTTTATTAAACCCTAAAGTTGTATGTGTAATTGTGAAGAAACTATAACAAGGTACAGTTGGGTTAATTCTGCAATATTTCTTATCAGTTGTCTAGCCATTGTATGTTGTTTAAAAACTAAAGTTTAAATCTTTATGATCTTGTCTGCTTAGATAGGCTTTTCCTTGATAGAAAATTCCTATAGACTGTACTCAAGAAGTACCTAAAATGGATTTTGTTGATTTTTTAGAAGATTTTAATTATTTAGAGAGTGTGAGCAGGGGGAGGGGTAGAGGAAGGGGGGCAGAGAGAGAATGTCAAGCAGACTCTGCACTGACCACGGAGCCCTATGTGGGACTCAGTCTCACAACCCTGGGGTCATGACTTGAGCTGAAACCAAGAGTTGGACACTTAACCGACTGAGCCACCCAGGTGCCCCTGATTTTGTTGATTTTTAAGTCCACCCAATAAATTATATTTGTTTCCTAAACAAAACCTACTCAACCCTGCCACTATAATATGAAAACAAACATAAACACTAGGTATAAGAATGGGTATGGCTGTGTCCCCATAAAACTGTATGCAGAAACATAATTTGCTGACCTCTGGCATTAGGAAATGTTCTTGATATGTTAGCTGGGAAAAATTTCACAGAACTATACATACAGTAGGATTCCAAGTTGCTTCTTACTTTTCCTAGATCATGCCAGGGTCCTTTACCATTTTGTGGTGTTGACATTTGCTGTTCCCTTCTCTCTAGAATGCTTCGCCCCTAGATCTTTGTTTGGCACGTTCCTCACTTCGGATCTCTGCCTGTGTACATATAATCTCCTGATCCAAAAGCAGTCCTCTCTAAAACTTCCCACTTTTTGTCCCTTTCTGCTTGGAGAATTTAAAAGACTTCATTAACATCTGAAAGTATAATCTTTGTTTAATTTGTTGCAGTCTGTCTCTCTAATAAAAGCTTGCTAAGGACAGGAACTTTGTCTTAATTAATTGATGTATTCTTAGTGCTAGATCAGGGCTTGGCACATGATAAATATTTGGGGAGTGTTGAATAAAGGACTAAATATACGTTTATAACAAAACCACAAGTGTTTGTGTATAAAGATGGAAGGTAGAAGATACCAAAATGTTAATTATGGGCAGTTCGGGTGGCCCAGTGGTTTAGCGCCGCCTTCAGCCCAGGGCGTGATCCTGGAGACCCAGGATCAAGTCCCACGTCAGGCTCTCTGCATGGAGCCTGCTTCTCCTTCTGCCTGTGTCTCTGCCTCTTTCTCTCTCTCTCTCTGTCTCTCATGAGTAAATAAATAAAATCTTTTAAAAAAATGTTAATTATGATTGTGTCTACATGGTAAGATTGTGGATGGTTTTTGTTATTTTTCTAAAAAAAATTTTTGAGTGGGGGACACCTGGGTGGCTTAGTTGGTTAAATGTCTGACTCTTGATTTTGGCTCAAGTCATGATCTTAGGGTTATGAGATTGAGCCCAGAGAGCAGCTCTGTGCTGAGTGTGGGACCTGCTTAAGATTCTCTCCCTCTGTTCCTCCCCCACTTATGCACAAGCTTACTCATGCACATGTGCACTCACTCTCCAAAAATAAATAAATAAGAGGGGGTGGGTGGGGAAGGGGCAGAGGGAGAAGGAGAGAGGCTCGATCTCAACCCTGAGATCATGACCTGAGCAGAAATCAAAAGTCTGATACCTAACTGACTGAGCCACCCAGGCACCCCTTTTCTAAAACATTCTTAATGATTGCATATATTAACACAAACGTAAATGTATATAGACATAGAATTACCTATACATATATATATATACACAAATACTTGTATACAAATATATATGTATAAAAACAGAGAGAGATGATGTATTTTTAATAAACTTATATCAAAAGGAAGTAATTAGATTCACTCTGAGGTCTCCTCGGGGTATGACACTGTACTATCTTAAGTCTGATCTTTCCCACAGGAATTTTAAGTCCCTGAGGCAGTCGTTTGATCAGTAATGTTTTCCACACTCATGTTTCCTAACAGATGGTGCCAAAAACTTCCTTTAGCTCAGTTAGTTCATTATCATGTCCTGCCCTTTCTACCTCTACAGTACCCCTTGCCTCCATTCACTCCTGCCTCCTCCTCCATGACCTCTGTCCTCCACTTCAGTAGCTTTTAAACCACTCTTGTTCTTCTGTCCTTGCCTGCTATTTAATCCATCCTCCACTCTTGCTGCCAGAATCATCTTAAAAGGTAAATTAAACACCCTGTGTGCTCCTCAGAATCTCTCAGTGTCTCTCTAATGCATTTAGAGTAAAACCCAAATCCTTAACATAGCCTTAGGTTCCTGCATAATTTGGCCCCTTCCTACCTTTTCTGCCTATCTGATGTCATTCTTCACTCATCCAGCGACATGCTCTTTCAGTTTTTTGGAGCCCACAAAAGTTTTTTTTTTGTGTGTCTTTGGGTCTTTTTCCAGGCAAACTCTCTTCAAGGAAATCTCCCACACCCACACAGTTTCTTCTGTAAAATTTCTACTCAACCTTCAGTTCTTAGTTCCAGTGATACTTCTACAAAGAGACTTTCTTGACCTTAAATCCAAGTTTATTTTCCCCGGTTCACTCTCGCATAGCATCTTGCGGTTATTTTTCATAGCCCTTGTCACTCTCTAACTTTTATCTTAATATCTGTGACCTCCCATAGTCCGTAAGCTCTAAGAGGGCAAGAACTCTTTTCTTTCACTGTTGGATCTCTAATTCCTAACAAAATTCCTGGCATATAGTAAAAAAAAAAAAAAAAAAAAAAAAAAGCAAGAAAGAAAAAAAAGCTAGTAAACATTTGTGGAATGAATACCTTTTTTTTTTTAAAGTACACTCCACAAGCAGCATGGAGCCCAACATGGGGCTCGGACTCATGGTTATGAGGTCAAGACCTGAGCTGAGATCAAGAGTTGGACACGTAACCAACTGAGCCTCCCAGACACCCCCAGAATGAATTACATTTATTATCACCTCTATTTAGAGAACACCCTGAAAGATGGATGTTCTCACAGTGAAGCTGAATGTACAAAATATGAAATCAATCTCTTTCCTTGTTTGGGGTCAGATTTTTATTCTTGGCCCAATCTGAGGTGAACTAGCAATGAGGGTCCCTACCCTCAAGGTGGCAGCACATGCCTGGGTCTTAGTGTAAATCCTTAGACTTGAAGGATACCTACCTGCCCAGTTGGCTGAGGAAATTTTCTGCTGGTGGGAGAATATTGGCATTTAGGTAGAGAAAGAAGAGAACTTCAAGATTCTAGGAAGAAGTTCTGATGCCTTATTGCTATACATTCCATATTGCCGCAAGAAATTTGAGGGGACACATTGGAGGCTTTGGAAGGGAAAAATTAATGTGATTTGGAATGAATATCTGGCTTTGAATCGCAGATGTACCACCTACCAACTCTGTGCCCCTGGGCAAGTTGCTTGATTTCTCTGAGCTCCTGTTTCCTTTTCTGTCAGATGGAGATCATGATACCTACCTTTCAGGATTATAATATAAAGCTCCTGTATCATAGCAGGTGTTCAATAAATGCTAACTATTGCCGTCCATCCCTGAGGTATAAGGCCTTCCTCATTAAGGAGTTACCTTGAAGGTCTCTCTTGAAGACTCTTAGGGATTGAAAGTCTAGTAGTGCATGAGTTTCGAGATAACTCTGCCCCAGTTATACAGGGATTAGGTGTGCTTGTCTTTTATTTGGGGTTTGAGATTAAAATAACATAGGAAAGAATCTACTAGCCTACCCTAAAAACAGTTACATAGAAGTATGTACTTTATCTGCCACAGTCAAAAACAGTTTTAGAGTAGATTTCCTGACACTTACTCTGGTTCAGCTCTATTTTTCTATATAGATTCTTGAAAAAATAGAAGTTGTTTGGTGGGATAGTTGTCTGTACAGCAGAGATGGCATACTCTTCCTACTTTCCTCTCCTGTGCCCAGAATAGGCTTTATCAGACTGCAGTACTTTCTCAAGGAGCCTGAATGTGATCCAGAATCCTCATCATGGAACTCTGGCTAGCTACTACTAGTGATTTGGCATTGGCTTATGAAATGAATCCCATTTATATCCCTGCTCTAAAGAATCAAGTGAGGCAACGAAGTATCTTCTCTGGGTCCTTACAAAGGGCAACCTTTAACATTTTCCAAATTCTGGTGCATTAGTAGGTATCATTACCATATCAATGGTAGTAACAATATAGAACCCCTGTCTCCGTAGAGTACCATGATGGTAGAGTGTTGTCCTTTCTCTCTAGCATTTTTCTCTAGAGAGCTCAGCTCATTCTAAAGAGATCCATCTTTAAATTCGTCCACAGGGTTTTGTGGTACCAAGACAACTACTTTGCAGGCCTCCTTGAGCATTGCCTCTTAAGGCAAGGCCCTTAACCCAAGTTCAAATGTCCCCTAACAAGTGAAGCATTTCAAAGAGAATACAGCCTTTGAGAAGCCAAAAAACCTCCAAAATGGATACACCTTTATTTGTTCAACAAATATGAATCGAGTATCTACATGGCAGGCACTGTTCTAAGCACTAGTTATGCAGCAGTGAACAAAAGAGACATGCACCCCTTATGGAACTTGCATTCCAGTGGGTGGGTTTGCAGTGGTGTGCTTCCCTCCAGACATTGTGCAGAGGCGTACTTACATGCATGCATTCCTAGCTCTCAGCTGTGCTCTGACTTGGGTAATACCTCCTCAGCAGTTCTCTTCATTGTTGGTTCCCTTTTATCTCTGTTTTATCAAGATGAAAAAATTGAGATTCAGAGAAGTAAGTTAATTTGCTTAGGGCCACACAGCAAGTAAGTGGCAAAGCTGAGTCTTGATCCTAGATTCACTGACCTGGATTTAGGTTATGGTTGAAATTTATTTCTTTGGTCATTGGACAGCAAAATGGGGCTTTCTAGAAGTTTCATTCACTCCATTCTCTTGTTCAGTGCACATCTATTGAGTACCTTCTCTGAACTGTGGGCAGTGCCATTTTAGAAAGCTACAAGTATCTTCACGTGGTAACACTTGTACTATGTGTCTGCTTTTCCTGCTAAACTCATGGACACGCACAAACCTGTTCTGTCCTGGGAAGATTTAAACTAAGCAAAGAACAGGCTGCATTCCCTTTCTCACCATCTTGTGTCCCAGGTTCGAATTGCTACAGAAGGAATCAATGGGACAGTTGGTGGAAGCAAACTGGCCACCAGACTCTATGTGGAAGTCATGCTTTCCTGCCCATTGTTTAAGGATTATATGTGTAAGGATGATTTTAAGGTAAGAGAAATTAAGAATAAAATGGGTTTAGAGCCATTTGTTTGTGCCTCAGTGCCTCTTCCCACTGTAAAGGAGAGCAGTGTGGAGAAAGAAGCAGTTCCAGATAAACACCCTTTCCCCGTTGGGCTTTGAGGCTGTGCAGGCATAGGAGCATGTGCATTCTAGTTCTTTACTAAGTCACCCTGTGGTCTTGGGCAAGTTAATGCCCTCTTGGATTTTAGTCTCCCTTCCTGTAGAATAATGACATTACAGTTTGCACAATCTAACTCTAAAACTTAGATATTTTGCTCACTTAAGGGACCACCTGGCTAATTTAGGGCATCACTACGTTATTAGTAAACTTGGAATTGCAAGACTAGTACTTCACACCACATGGGGATAAAGCTGATGCTTTCACAGCTGAGCTCCCTTGTTTGAGTTTCCTTGTGCTTTGCCACAGTAAGTGATAAAGGTGGGGAATACCTTACCTGGTGTTAGTGCTGCTGGTGGGAGGGAAAGAAAGGTCATTGCTCCAGAGCAAAAGCTAGGATGTAATCTTACATGCTGAAATTATTCAGTGGTGATTCCGTTTTGTAGTTAAATGCTCCTAGCCATAGAAACACCTTTTCAATTTAACATTTCTGTATGTGGTAGGTATGTAATAGATATTTATTAGTGTTGAATTATCTGAAACATTTTAGGCCCTAACTCCCTTTCTCTATTAAAACATTAATTCTTACTTTGAGGCTTCTTAAGATTTCAGCTCATAGTACTACAGGACAGATATAATTCTTGTATCTGGCACTTGTCTTATATCTGGAGATGGGAGAGTAAGACTATGTTCTGTTTTGCTTCTCATTGGCTAGACCAGCAAAGGAGGGGCTTGCTGTTTTCCAGAATTGCGTGTTGGTGTGTTTGAAGAAATTGTGCCCATGGGGATCAGTCCCAATAAGATCTCCTACAAGAAGCCTGGTATGCTTGCATTTAGAAGAAAAATTTTGCTTTTCTGCAGAGAGACAAAATTTGATATAGAAACAAATGTGGGAGTCAGACACTCTGATCAGTAATCCACTCTTTAAAATAGCTTTGGGATATGGAATTTAAGAAACAAACAAAGAGAAAAGAGACAAAAAACCAGGTTCTTAAGTACAGAGAACAAATTGGTGGTTGCCGGAGGAAAGTGGGTGGGGGAATGGGGGAAATGAAGAGGATTAAGAGCACACTTATCACGATAAGCACTGAGTAATGTACAAAACTGTTGAATCATTATATTGTACATGTGAAGCTAATAGAATATGGTATGTTAATTATACTTTAAAAAAATAGCTGTAGGATGGCCAGCCTGTGGGTCATTCAGTGCTTAAACTGGTTTTCTCTGTGGTGCTCTTGATAATTGAAGACTCACCCCTTAGAATGCTCTTATTTTTCCTGATGATTTGGCAAGAAGTTGTTTTCTTGGTTCAAAGATAGCAATCTAGGAAGAGTGTAATTATTACTTATAAATAGTTCATCAACTGAATAACACACAGGTTTTTTGCTACAGGAAGCAAGTGGCTTTCAAATCCAAAGCAGTTTGTTTGAAAGTGCTGTAGAATGTTCTCCTCCCCTTCTTCCCCATGGTTACTGTAGATGGTTGAAAGACATTTGTTGGGTGGGTTTTTTTGTTTTTTCTATGAAAATTTTCAAACATTAAAAAAATTAGAGAAAATAGTAAAGTGAATTCACATGTACCTGTCATACAACTTCAGCAATTACTAATTCATTACCAACTTTCTTCTATACCCTGTCCCCTTCCCTCATCCTGGATTATTTTGAAGGAAATCCCAATGTCCTGTCATTTCATAAATATTTTCGTAAAAATCTCTAAAAGGTAAACATTTAAAATAATAAATAAGGGCTCCCTGGGTGGCACAGTGATTTAGCGCCTGCCTTTGGCCCAGGGCACAATCCTGGAGACCCAGGATCGAACCCCACGTTGGACTCCCGGTGCATGGAGCCTGCTTCTCCTTCTGCCTATGTCTCTGCCTCTCTCTCTCTCTGTGTAACTATCATAAATAAATAAAAATTAAAAAAAATAACTGTAAAGCTATTATTACCTCTAAACAATTTTAATAGTAATTCCTTAATATTATCAAATATTATCAAACACTAGACAGTACATAAAATTGGCTAGACTAGCAAAGGAGGAGCATGCTGTTTCACAGAATTGTATGTATTTGAAGAACTCATACCCATGGGGATCTCATAATTTTTTAAAAAGATTTATTTATTTATTTATTCATGAGAGACACACAGACAGAGACACAGAGGGAGAAGCAGGCTCCATGCAGGGAGCCCAATGCGGGACTCAATCCTCGGACTCTGGGATCATGCCCTGAGCCGAAGGCAGACGCTCAACCATGGAGCTACCCAGGTGTCCCAGGATCTCATAATTTAAAAAATTTGTTTCTATTAGGATTTAAGTAAGATCCACTCATTGTGATGGATCCCTGTGTCTCTAAGTCTCTTTTAACTTATACATTTGCCTTCCTCCTTTTTTTCCCCTTGCAGTTTATTTTTTGAAGTAACTAGGTCATTAATCTATAGAGTTTCCCACAGTCTGGCTAGAGCTGATTGCATCTCTTCTGTCCTCTATTTCCTATAGATGGATAGTTAGGGCATTGCTGGCAATAGAAATAAAACGTGAGGCACATATGTAATTTTATAGTTTTTAGTAGCCACGTTTTATTTATTTTTTTTTAAGATTTTATTTATTTATTTATTTATTTATTTATTTATTTGAGAGAGAAGCAAGTGAGCAAGCAAGCATGAGTAGGGTGAGGGGCAAAGTGAGAAGCACACTCCCTGCTGAGCAGAGAGCCCAGTGCTGGGGCTCAATCCCAGGACCCTGGGATCATGACCTGAGCTGAAGGCCGGCTTCTTAACCAGGTGCCCCTAACAGCCACATTTTAAAAGCAAAGGAAACAAGTGAAATTCATTTTAATAATATGCTTTAATGCAATGTAGATGCAATGTAGCCAAAATATTTCTATGTGTAATCATTGTAAAAAAATTACTAAGGGATATTACTCTTTTTTGCTTACTAAATACTTGAAATCCTGTATCTATGTCACATCTTTGGCCACATTTCAAGAGCCTGATATCCCCATGTGACTAGTGGCTATTCTGTTAGAGTCCTCAGATCCAGAGACTTGGTTAGATTCAAATTTGATACCCTTTTCTCTTTCTTCCCCCCAAGACTGCCTGATAGGTAGCATTGTCCTCTTTCATCAGGAAACACAAAAGTCCGGTTGTCTCTCTTCACTTTCTAATATGTAGGTATTTAAATGAATCCTAAAGGTTAAGCCAGAGTAGGATACAGTCATCCAGGAAAAGAGACTCATGCACGTGGAGAGATGGCCCCAAAAGGGCTGTGTCTACCCAGTGCCCTTACCTTAGGATAACTAAAGAGCTCTTGGTCGGTGCTACCGAACATTGCTTGGGAATTTCGGGGAAACTGGGCTCTAGGAAATGCTGTGCTTTCATTTGAGCCTCGTTGTTTGAAGGCACCTCTTTTCAACACGTCCTTGTGAGTCCCTGTCCAGTCAGGCCTTCGAAGGGCTAGTAGAACAACAGCGAGGAATGGGTTTGGTTCCCTGTAGTGTCCTATAAGTGGAAGTCTTAGCAGATTTCTGTGTTTCTCATCACAGTTTTGAACCTCCCTTTGCAGCTTGTTTTGGTGACCATGTAATTAGGTGATAATAAATCAGTTCTGGCCTTGTAACATTCACCTTACAATGCAGATTCCTTGGCCATGCTTTTGGGCCTGTAGCCTTACCTGGATACTTAGTTTCAAGTGGTTGTTGATGTTTACCCCTGAGCAGAATGAGCCTCCTTTGGTGCCATCAAGCTCTACCAGAGCCCCTGTCTGTGAGGGGTGGTTACTCCCCATTGCCAAATTCACTGGAAGTTCCTCACAATCGACTGGGGTGTCTGGACCCCCAAAGATACAGTAATATTTCTATTCTGTAGAGTTGAGAAGGCCAGGGGGACCCCACCAGACTGAGATTCTCTCCTTTTAGTCTCCTTGGATTTTACTAATTTTCTTCTTTTCCTTTCTCTCCTGCCTGCTTTAGCTTTTCCCTCTTTTTCTCTCTCCTGCCCTGCTCTCTCATGGGTCACTTCTGCCATCAGCCCCTCCCACTCTTTTTCTTTCACTCATGGACACAGACTTAGACAACATTCTTCTTACCCTTTTTGTCTTTTTAAAGAACAGTCCAACTTTATTCTACAAATTTTTACTCTCAGCTGCCTGTCAAGGTTCTTAGCTTTGAACCTAGGCTTGCCTTTGTTAGAGTCAAAACCCTATAGTCAAACACATAGTCATGCCCAAGCTCCTCCACGTACAATGAAAATAGAATGCTGGCTATATAATGGACGAGCAAACCCACATGGCAACTTAGATCCCAACTGGCTTTTATCATTGGGTTAGACCAAGTAAGGGAATGGAAAATTCTTTGACGAATCATTTCTAAGCCTCCAGATCTCCATGGCATTTATCTGTGGAGGAAGGAAGTGAGGTTATCTGGATAATTTCATCATGGCCATCAGAGAGTGTTATTTTCAGACATAATTGCAGTTATGAATAAAGGTTTGGGTGGAAGGAAACCGAGCAACACATAAGTCATCAGGCTGGGCTAGCTGGGATTGGATTTTGTTTTTGTCTTGTGTAAGTAAATTTTTGGTTTGGTTTTAGGAATCCATTTATCCCCAGGTGAATTTCATAAAGAAGTAGAAAAATTTTTGTCTCAGGCAAATGAAGAACAAAGTGATACTATCCTACTGGACTGCAGAAACTTCTATGAAAGCAAAATAGTAAGTAAGAGTTGAGTTCAGTGGAATGGCAGGTCTCCCCCTTCCCACATCATGGTGTTTTTGCCAAGCGATACTGTGTATGCCTACCTGTGGCCAAGTCACATAGCTCTCCCCGCACTGCTAGCAGCTTCAAAACCCAAGCCTTTGAACTCAGGATCTGGTGAGAACGTCTAAGAAAATAGGAATTAAAGACATCTTGGCACATAATGTATTTGTTGGTTCCCATGTGCCTACCTATGACATGTGTCAAAGATGCTATAAAGTAGGCTATGGGCAGCCTCTCCGGTTCCCCTGAGGACTCTGGGAAGATGACCCACAGCCCACCAGTCTTGTTTCTGAGTTCCAGAATTGACGGTGAAAGGTCAGAGTGTAGGATGAGAATAGCAACTAGTAAGTGTTTCCTTGCCACAGGGCCCTGAGTGGGGTTGATGCAGAAAGAACCTTTGTTCTTACCAGGTATGTTTTTCTGATCATTTTCCTTCTGTGTCTCTTATATCGCAGGGACGATTCCAGGGCTGTTTAGCTCCAGACATCAGGAAGTTCAGTTACTTCCCTAGCTACATTGACAAAAATCTAGAACTTTTCAGAGAGAAGAAGGTGCTGATGTATTGCACTGGGGGCATCCGTTGTGAGCGGGGTTCAGCCTACCTCAAAGCCAAGGTAAGTTAACCCCCTTGGGGGCCAAGAAAGCTCCACCAACAGCATGTGTTGAGTGTTCCAGCCCCCCCTTCATTCCCTCTCCCACCCCCAACCTGCCAGGGATTTAGTTTTCCCTTGTATGGTTTCAACGTAGAGTTTATAAGTACAAAATCTGAAGTTCTTAAATCTCAAGATGTGGGAAAGCACTTAACAGTCTTAGAGTCTCATCAAGTACAAAAGGGAAAGCTTAGTTAATATCTCCCTTCTCCTAATCCTTATGCTTGATCCTGAGAAGAACACATTCACATTACATGTTCCAACAGGTGTCTTTCTAATTTAGGAGGCAGCAAAAATAGCTGGGCTTCCCAGGACCTAGTGAAGGCCCTGACTGCTGTCATCACCTGCCATTCGTCTGTGGAGCTTATCAGTCTTTGCCTCCTCAAATTTCCTCTTATTTTTCCTCACATAGGGAGTGTGCAAGGAAGTGTTCCAACTCAAGGGTGGCATCCACAAGTACCTGGAGGAATTTCCCAATGGTTTCTACAAAGGGAAGTTGTTTGTTTTTGATGAGCGTTATGCCTTATCCTACAACAGTGATATAGTGTCAGGTAGGTCAGCACGGGCTGGAACTTAAACCCACAAGGCAGGCACACTCTCTGTATGAACCATTCAGGAAGGCAGCCCAGTACTGGTTATGTGAAGAGGAAAACAGAGAAAAGAAGTAATGAAATATGACCATTTCCCAACAGAGTTAGAGATACAACAGAAGCCTGGATCAGGAATCGGGAGACCTATACTGGGTCCTGGCTTCCCCATTTACTAGTTTGGCAGGTCTTTTCCAGTGGGGATGATGTCACTTGTTCTGCCTACATGCTGGGAGTTGAACTAATAGATTGAAACAAGGGTCTTAACCAGTAGTTGATATATAGAATCCAGGGGTTCTGTGAATTTGGATAGGAAAATAATTTTATCTTTATTTTCACAGCCCCACACTAACTGTAACACTTCCTTTGATTGTTAATGTAAACCAACAAATCAGTAATATTAAATGCACCAGTGAGTATTAAAACCACAATATTTTCATATATTATGAAGACATCTCCAAATAGCATTTATATTCATTATTCTCTCAAAGTGGAAGTAGTTATTAGGTCCCCTGTCTTATTTAATGTGTTAATAAATATCTTAGCTATATCACAGATTTTTAAAAAATGTTTTGATATTTTGTATTTCTGTCTAATTGGTTCCCTTGGTAATCCTATGTATTTTTGGAACCTCCAGTTTAGGTGGTCTATAGACACATGTGGTAGGTTAGGTACTTTTGAGTGGTGGCTAGGGCATTCTGAGGTCCAAGGGCCAAGCCCAGGGGCGGGGGTGGCCACAGGAGGATGTGAGTTCACAAGAAGCCTGTGGTTTGACTGTAGAGTTAAGTCCTCACTGATGTGGGGTCAGTAAAAGGAGAATGGAAATAATTCTTAAGAAAACTGGCTCTTGGGATCCCTGGGTGGCGCAGCAGTTTGGCGCCTGCCTTTGGCCCAGGGCGCGATCCTGGAGACTCGGGATCGAATCCCACGTCGGGCTCCCGGTGCATGGAGCCTGCTTCTCCCTCTGCCTGTGTCTCTGCCTCTCTCTCTCTCTCTGTGACTATCATAAATGAATAAAAATTAAACAAAAAGAAAAAAAAAGAAAACTGGCTCTTGCCCCTGGATGCCATAGTTTTGACCTGGAAAGGTCATAGGCAGACAGCCCTAGTGGCTGTTGTAATTTCCTAGAACTCCTGTGATCAGAGCCTGAGATTGAATTACCACTCCAATAATGAAAAAGATTTGAGTATGATCGCCTTTTCCCCTTTCTTCTTGATCTTTTTATTAATTTTAATTGGCGTTGTATTTGTGTCTCTTATTGAAAGCTACTCGAAATCTGTTTTGGAGCTAGATGGAGAGAAGAATTATAAATAAGTATAAATAGTGGATTTGAGAAATGTTACAGAAGAAAAGTTGGCAGGATTTGATGGGTACTTACATGTGAGTGTGAAGTGAAGGCAAGAGAGTAGGCCCAAAGGTAGCTTAGATAAAACTAATTAAGGAGACTTAAAGAATGATGTTGTCACTGCTAACAGGAAGTTGGCATGGGAAAATGGGCTGAAAAAATAGATAATGGGAATTTTTTAGGAATCGAGTGGTCAAGTGTCCACTAGCAACAGCAGAGAGCCTGAGGCTTGGGGGAAGAGGGGCGTGGAATACAGAAGTTGAATATAGATGTGAGATCGTGTGTATTCACATATGTTGTATTCCGTGACAAAGGGAATGATCTAAAGGAAGACCATTGAACCAAGGGGTAATTGGCCAGCTTTGGAATAAAGAAACAATACTATCTTTTCTAAATAGGAAAAAGAAAAAAATGAGTCACTGAATGTTGGAATCAGGAAGACAGTTCCCAGATAACACTGGGAACCACCTCCCACCCACCACCCGCCCCTGCCAAAACAATGGAGGTGAGGGAGCATTTTTTTTGCTAGAGGACAGGAGACTCTATTTAGAAACCTTTCCAGGCCCAACAGGGTATATTAGCTGATGTGCTAAGAGTTATATTTAGGACCTGGAGAAATGCCTGTCTACATGTGTCCACATGTATGTATATGTTTAGAACTAGAGCTTTTCTTTCTTCCCTAGAATGTTCATACTGTGGAGCCCCATGGGACCAGTATAAACTCTGCTCAACTCCCCAGTGCCGCCAGCTCATCCTGACCTGCCCTGCTTGCCAACGACAAGGATTCACAGCCTGTTGTGTCACATGTCAAGACAAAGGGAGAAGGCTGGCTTCAAGTCCCACCCAGAGCAGCTTTAAAGAGGAATGTGAGTGCACAGCCCGACGGCCACGCATACCCAGCGAACTGACGCAGCAGGTGCGGCTCCCAACGAGCCCCGAGCCCCAGCCTGATGTTGGTGAGGATGGGCCATGCCTATGTGAGCAGCAGCAGTTCCCTAGGCCTTCAGAAAGCTAGTTCACAGGGACCACACACTGGAGAATATCAAAGCTGCAGCAATAGAAACTTGAGCGCTGGCAATGCCAACATCATAAACTGGGTACCATACTGGCCATCTAAACTCCAGAGGGGCTGGGAAGAGGGAGCTGAGTGCTGACCACTTACCTGAGACATTTGACTCAGAAGATGTCAGAGCACAGAAAAAGGTGAGCTGAGTAGGATGGCAGAGCTGCTGGGGAAGAGAGCCTTGAGCCTAGTGACCAGGTTGTGCCCTCTATGTGCCATGTAGCAGACTGGTGGTAGTCATTTGTCTTGTCAGCAGACCTGTTCATCCTGGTGGCAAAAGTGTAGCCCTGGAGGGTGACTCCTTAGAAGCAGGCCACTCAGGTCACCTACTATCCACTCCTACCCTCATCTCTCTGGCAGCCTGAGAGACTAAGGATCTGCAGGCTATGGCATTTGACTCACCTCTTGCTTTTGTAAATAAAGTTTTATTTGAATAGCCACACTCATTCATTTACAAATGATCTATGGCAGAGTTTAGTTACAACAGAGACCTCATGGCTTGCAAAGCTGAAAATATTTGTGATCTGGCTCCTTTATAGAAAAAAAATTGCCATCCTTTGGTCTAAACCTACAACACACCTGATGGAACAGGTGGTCTTAAAGATGTGGCCCCCTTCATTTGTTATTGAATTGGTTTCTGTGAGCGATCTCTCCTTAAGAGTCTGCTTCCCCCAGTACCCACACTCTTAGCTTTTAAGTATTCTCTTTGAAGGATTCAGATTAGCTTGGGGACACTGATGTTTTGGCATTTTTTTAGATGAATGCCCCGGAACATAAGACACACATTTAGCATTGCCGTGGTAGTTTCCCAGCCTCTGACCAACATGTGAGGCATGTGTCCATTTCCCACTAGTCACAAGAAACACAAACACAACCATCCATAGACCAACAGATTTAATACTATATTGCCATTTCCAGTGATGCAGAATACAGCTGCAGTTGTGTTTCAAGGAGAAGCCTAGTGGGGATGGCCATCCCAACAGCATGGTGCCACTCCTGGGCCCATCTGCAGCCTCAGTAGACACTCTTCCATAGTGGTGAGGCCCTGGCTCCACCTCTGGTTACCCTGTACTGTCCACATTACAGTTCAGCGTGCGAGACTTTTCCTTTTTCGTCAAAAGCCTCTGCTCAGTGCTCTGCAGCTTCGTCTGTGCTTGTCCACTCTTTGGCCTGTCCTTTATCATAAGATTTGCTGAATCACTCCTGAAAATAACTCCCAAGCAACAGAAATGCTAGTTTAACTGGCACTGTGGTATATTAAAAGGCACAAGGGCATTGTGGCTTAACATTTTTGCTGGATCCCAAGAGATGCACATGATGTTAAAAAAGGATCTGGCAAAAACACCATTATTACATTTTCAGAATCACCATCTTGGGATGGTTTGGCCAGGGTTTCTGAATTCTTTAATATCTGGATTTTCTTCACTGTTGGCCTTCAGAGGCTTAATTTACAGGCATGAGATCACTGGTGACTTGTCTAATAAGTGACGTGACACATGGTTGAAGTCTGTAAGTTTAGCCATGATGGACTAGAAATTTCTCTAGTGTTTTACCTCACATAAGCCATTGGACCACTGTGCAGTGTGGAAAGGTGTTTTCAAGTATTTGGCCATAGGTTTTCACATCGTTGCGGTTGGCATTCAATAAGGAAAAAATTCTTTCTGATTCCAATATTAAACTGTAAATAAATCCCAGATGTTCGTAAGAACACTCAGGGAAACAAACGTTTGTTGCCTGGGATTGGTCAAGAAAGGATGGTTTTTGAGACTTGAAATTTCACCATTGGCTTTTTCATTTCTTTGTATCCAGCAAAAGGAATCTCATGTTCCTTGGTTCCTGGCAGAGCTCTGTGGCTTCAATCTCTCTTTCCTGAGGGGCAAAATTGTATTTCTGACCCAATAATCAATTTGGCAACTTTAATCTTGAGGTTCTTCAAATTCAAAGGAGGGTTAATAAAGAATGATAATCTGTTTGCTAAATACCTAAGATCAAATTCAAAATAAAGTATTTTATAATGCTTCTCAACCATGCGGAAGAGTGGGCTGTTTGTTCCTATGTTACACGTTCTAAATATACCTGAAACACCACGCAGCATGGCCACCAAAACTGGGCTCCCAGGGTTAAATCCTGCTGCTAGAACATCTTCAGTAAGATCTGTCGGTTTGGGGTCCTCTTAGTTTTTAAATAATAACCAGACTGAATTTCTGTGACTAAAGAAAAACTTCACATTAACCATAGTTTATAAAATTTTCAACTACAACCACTAGTTAACCTAAAACCTTAGTGCATAAAGAACTGAACCACGAAAGGGTTTGTGCCGGCATTTTGCCTTCTGGTTTCCACTGCAGAGCACAGATTATCAGTAGAACATGTGCAGTTCAAAGGCATGGTTGTCCCCTCCACACACTAGACGCCACTTCGGACCTTGGGAATGATGGGCCCAGTTAAGTCTGCGAGCCTCCTCTTCCTCACTGGAAAGGAATGGAGATGAAAGATCAGTTGACTCTGTGCGCTGGGAACCACCTCTGTGGCTCTGAGAAAGCCCCGGGAAGCTTCTCGCTTTTTGGTTAGCAAGGTCTGAAGTCTGTTGTTTCTAAAGGACAGTTACATGTGAGCTGTGTCAGGGCCCTCCCTCCGGTCGGCGTTCCCTGATGAGGGTCTGTGGTAGCTTTGACTTATTCATATGTTACTTCTGAGCCACTGACCACACAGGCATAAAACTCACTTTATCCACCTCTGTCAGTTTTGCTTTGTACACAAGAGGTCCTGCAGTTGATCTTTCCTCCTGCTCAGATAAGAGCTAAAGTTCAGTTGATCTTAATGAGAATAAAAAGTCTTAACCTGCTGGAATCATTTCCCACAGCTCTTTCTCAGAGCTCTTGGCCTGCCTCCTGCCTTCAAAAAAAAAAAAAAAAAAAAAAGTTTCCACCCTGAAGATTACCCTGCAGTATCGATGTCCCCCTTAGTGTTAACCTTGACATTCTCCCATGGGCAAGACAACAGAGGCTTAAATACTGTTCACACAACAAAGTAGTTAAATGCCATAAAGACGAAAGCATTGGCCAGGAGGTTGCAGGCTGGAGTCATTACTTGTAGGATGATGGAGAGGGGAAGAGGGGGCCCTTTGTTGTAAATAAGGGAGAGTGTTTTGAAATGAATTACAGTGTCTGCAGATGAAGACCAAGCAGCAAGCCAGATCAACCACAAGAGAAAGTAAAAAAAGTCGGTAGAACCGGTAGGTGGCAGTCAAGGAGGCTGCTGGCGTGGCAGAGACAGGTAGCTATTGCAGAAGAGGAAAAGTCTGTCTATACTTAGAGGTCTTCGGTTCTCGAGCTGGGCCGGTAGACCTGCAGCCACCAGATCGATGCATACGAGCCTGTGCATGACAGCATATAAAGCAGAACCACCCAGGAAGGAGTGGTACTCAGGTTGTGGCTGGGAGCAGGGGCATACAGGTCACCCAGTCTGGGGCCTAGAATCCAGCCTGTCCCTGTGCTCCTACCCATCCCCCTTCACTCCTTGCCAGAAGAATAATGAATGCAAACCAGTGGACCGAGTCCTGGAGAGAAGACACTGTCCAGCCCAGGCCCTGGAGACTATCAGGATGTCCAGCAGCTTGGGAGAAAATGTCAGGGAACAAAAACCAAAACCCAAAGAGCAGAAAAGTTTTGCCCAAAGTGACCAGAGGGTTTACACGAGCCAGACTTTTAAGTATCACTGTGTTAGGTATGCAAGTATGCCCAGCAGAGCAGTCCTCATTACACCTCTTTACAATACTTCACTGGAGGCCCACTGCCAATTCTGGAATGTCAGCATTGTTTCCTCTCCCATGTTACAGAGGAGCAGAGCATGGCAGGCTACGTTTCTTGCTCAAACCCATAAAGCTGGTATGAGAACCAAGGTGTGTGACCCATCTGGAGCCTCAGTCCGGCACCTCCGTACCGTCTGGGTCCATCTACATAGGGCTTACACATCGGATTCTCACAAGGCTATCAGCTTCTTTCCCCTGGAGAACAAAAGGGAGCTAGAGTCCCTAAGAGCTAGTGGCAGAATCAAAACAGGAACCTGAGTCCTCAGTCCGTGGCTCGGGGTATGGGCGGGGACCCCAGTTTTCTTTCTCTCCCACGTGCCCTCATTGTGTGCCCTGGGCACGAGCTGAGCAGTTCCCCTAGCACTGGCTGTCACTGGGACGGGATGGGGAGATGGGCAAGGCATTCACCTACTTAGGGATTATTTTTCTCCATTTTAATGATGAAGGAAATTAAGGCCAAGAGGGGAGTAACTTGGCCCAAGTCCCAGTGAATAAGTGACAGAACTGGAAGCAGAAGCCAAGTCTAACATCCTTCAATTCACTCTGCTTTTTATTTCCATTAAAGCAAAGTCCTTCTCGTTGCAGGCTGCCAGACTTGTACAGTCAGAGCCAGAGAAGGAATCTAGAGTCCTCTAGACCAATCGCTGCTCAAGCCCCTTCTGCTGCTTCCTGCCAAGCTTGAACACCTCCATTATGTGTTTGGGAGGCATTTTAAATCCATTTATATGTTCAATAGCACTTACTGAGTGCTATTCTATGCCAAGCACAAGGGCCACAATAGAGATCTAGTTTAATGGCACCAAGCTATACCAAGGGGAAGTTTGATAAAATGGCACAGGTTACCCTGGTAGCTGTCTCTCAAGTACAAGGCATAATGAATGACATGGTCAGAAGGATGGCAGGGAACATGTGCACGGAATCCTGAAGGATAAAGGGATAGACTGAGGAGGGGAGAGGGTCAAGAGTGGTGGCCTTCTACAGGGATACTTTGGCCTGGGTCACTGGGAGGCACTCAAGCTCCCTGGACTGGTTGGTGCTAATACGGGGTGAGAGTGTGGCTTGTCAGGGGTGTCAACAGAGAAGTCCAGCACGGCCTCACTACAAGGGGAGGCTGGGGGCACAGGCTCCGACCTCAGACTGCAGCTCAAACCCCATTCCCACCCCTTGACTGCAGGTAACCTTAGCTCCTTCTCCGGACCTCCACTTCCTTACTGCAGAATGGGGATAATAATAGGATCTAACTCACCTGGTTGTTGGGAGCCTCATGTGAACAAGATAGGAAGTGTTCAGAGTAGCGCCTGGCACACAGGAAACGCTGTTATTGTCAGCGATGGTTATTAAGGGACGTGTGGGCCATGTCGAGGACTCTCACCTGAGAGCAGTGGGAGCCCAGCAAGGGTTCTAAGCAAAATGACTGAATAAACTTTGCGATGGGCATTTCGTGAGAGACGCTGGCCAGCCCACAGAAGTTGCAGGACACAAGGCGAATGTGCTGAGGGCTTGACATGAGTCAGGGCAATGAGGATGGCCAGGAGGTCACTGACTGGCTGGGGTGTGGGGCAGCATATACAGAGGCGTGGATGGCCATGAGGAAAGCAATACCCTTTCCTGGGGTGGTTTTGGGGGAAAATGATGAAATTGATTTGGGGTGCACCGTGTCTGGGATGCTTGTTAGAAAAGTCTTCTGCTTTTAAACATGTTAGCCTTCTTCCCCTCCCCACTTCCACACTTCCAATGGTCTTAACTTGGAGTTGGCAATTCAGATTTCATTAAGTGCAGAGAGCTTCAGGGGCAGATTTACAGGACCTGAGAGCCATGCTTAGCCTCTCAGCTATAAATAGTGTAGAGGTAGGAGTCATCTGAGGTATCGCTGTGAGAAAACAGACGGGGACTCACGGCTCCTCCCTGACCCCACGGCGTCCCGGGTACCCTGCTCGTTCCCACACAACACTGCTAGCAGCTCAGTGCACAGGACCGAAGGCACGCCGGTCAGAATGTCTGCAGAGGCGCTGGCTGACTTCTGGCCTTGGGGATGGAATATCCCCCAAGGAAGAGCCCACGCACCCTGCAGGCAGGCACCCCCCCATACCCTGCCCCATGGCTGGCTATGTGCCAGAAGCCAGCACAGTGCAGGCAGGAGTGAGAAGGAAGCTGGAGAGGTTGGGCCTGTCCACTCTGGGCTCACTGCCGCTGGGGCCCCTGGTGCAAACACTGTGAACCACCACAGTGGTGAGGTACAGGCCTCGGGAGAAAATATTCAGCTGGAAAGCATGGAAATCTGTGTGCTTCATCGGAGCACCAAGAGCGGGATGAAAATACTGTGTTGGAGAGAAAGGACCTCTCTTTCGCTGGAGGAAGTTGGTGCATGATCAGAGCCAGAAGCGTTTCTTTTACAAATATTAGCAGGTGGGCACAAGTTGGCCTTTAAAGCTAGAAATCCCACTTCACCAACCAGCACTGAATGTTGCCCCTCCTTGCCTGTGCTAGCAGCCCCCTATCCCACCCCAAGAACACCTCCTGACCTCCCCACAATTTCTCTTCCCTGCAAAGCTGGCTAAAGGCCCACCCACAACAGGGATGCTTTACTTAACCAGACTCTTTTCTTCTCGAGTCACTTTTCACATTGTTTAGGCACAGTTTGCAGGCATTCTTTTTTTAAAAAAATTTTTTTAAGATTTTATTTATTTATTTATGAGAGACACATAGAGGGAGGTGCATTCTTGAATTTGTAGGCATGCCCTTGAGTCTTTTTCTCTCCTTAAAGGTTGTAAAGGTTTTGGAGTCAAGGAACTAGCCTCTCTGCTGCCCTTTACGTCCCCAGGCACAGTCCTAGGCACACAAAAGTTGCTCCAAAACTGTCTGCAGCAACTAACAATGGGTGGGACTTGGCTGAGCCCCTTCCTAGAAGGCCAGTACCTCCCAGGCTTCAGTTTCCCCAAAAGAGAACTGGGTGGGGGTGAGTCTGAAGGCCTTTCCAGCTCTGGCACCCTAGGACCCAGCTATAACCTCAGAAGCTGCTGGAGATAGGCTCCGGGCCGTGGGTTTGGAGTCGCAGACTCTCAGGACTGGGAGAGTCCTCAAGGGCCAGGCTATCCAGCCTGCAGCTAATCCGGGTACCCCTGATCATCTGGAACTGCTGACCCTAGAAAAGACCTCAAGCCATTTTGCCACTGGGTTAGCACTGGCATAGGCAGTCAGGGGCACAGAAGAAGCT